TTTTATCTACTAGCTATTAAGTGAAGAAAATAGGATTAGAGGCTTTTATAAAAGCCTTGTAAAATATATTGAATACTTGTTGAACCATGATAATAGAATATTAATTAAAATATCATTTTTTTTGTCATATTTTCACCATATAGTCGTGTCACAACACGACAACGTTTGACTTGCAAAGACAAACTTCAATGGAATCAAGAAGCAGAAGTAGCATTTGAAGCTTTGAAGAAAACCTTTGTTTTTGCACCAATCTTGTATCGCGTCAATTTTTTTAAGCCATTTTTTATGGAAACAGACGCATCAAACTTTGCTTTGAGTGTCGTATTATTACAAATGGGAATACATGATAAACTTCATCCAATAGCTTTTCATTCCAGAAAATTTTCAGTAGCCAAGATCAACTTTGAGATCCATAACAAAGAACTTCTTGCAATCATGGATACGTTTTAAGAATGACACCATTATCTAGAAGGTACTTTTAGCTCAATCACAGTGTATACGGATCACAAGAACCTTGAATATTTTATGTCAGTACGTGTTTTGAATTGTCGCAAAGCCCATTGGAGTATGTCTTTGTCAAGATTCGAATTCAAGATCACTTATCAACGAGAAAAACAACAAGGTTTGTTAGATGCACTCTCTAGAAAATCTTATCTTTCAGCAAAGGAAGGAAATGCTACTTTTGATCAACAACGAATAATTTTGTTGAAACCAGAGCATCTTCATCTTCAAGTAATGAAATCAACACTAACTATTGATTCAACTTTCATTAAGCAAATTCGGTCAAGTATGTCTTCTGATCCTCTTATTTGTAATATTAAGGAAAATCCTTCAACATCTCATGATACTTCTAAGTTTGAATTCAAGAAGAATCTACTCTATTTTGAGGGACGCCTATATGTTCCAAAAGGTGGAGATTAATTACGTGTTCTTGAAGCTCATCATGACTTTCCAACAGCAGGACATTTTGGGTACAATAAAACTTTGGAACTAATATCCAAGGACTTTTGGTGGCCCCAAATGTGAAAAGCAGTCAAAATTTTTGTACAATCTTGTGATGTTTGCTCAAAATCATAAACTCCTCGTCATCGACCTTATGGACTTCTTCAGCCATTACCCATTCCAAAACAACCATGGTCTTCTGTTTCTATGGATTTCATCAAGGACCTTCTAATCTCAGGTTCTTATGTCTGTATATTCATGATAGTAGATCGTTTTATCAAGATGGCTCATTTTGTACTATGTACAAAATCTATCACAGGTGAAGAAACAACTAAGCTCTTTCTTGACAATATCTATCGCTATTATGGATTATCCAAGGATATTATATCAGATATGGGAACTCAATTTGTATCAAGATTTTGGCGGACTCTTTTCAAGATTCTAAAAGTGGATATAAAACTATCTTCGACAGTCCATCCTCAAACTGATAGACAAACAAAGCGTGTTAATGAAGATTTGGAGCAGTATTTAAGATGTACCATTAACTACCAACAAGATGATTGGACAACTCTTTTGTCATTCGTAGAGTTTGTTTATAATAACATGGCACATTTTTCTACAAAACAAACACCTTTCTTTGTTAATTATGGTTATCATCCATGACTTGATATTTTGACTTTTCAAAAGTTGATAATCCTGCTGCAAAAGATTTCACAATTCATTTGTCAGAGCTACATGCAACGATGAAGGCGCAATTAAAAGAAGCTCAAGAACAACAAAATGTCAATGCAGATGTTTATCGAAAGGAACAACCACCATTCCACATGGGTGATAAGGTATGGATACTTCGTTGCAATATCAAAACCACTCGTACTTGTGACAAGTTGGACTATCGAAGGCTTGGACCATTTTCTATTTCTGCATAAATCAATCCAGTTGCATATCATTTACATCTACCGGAGTCAATGAAAATCCATTCAATATTCCACATGTCTCTTTTTGAACCATACAAGATAGTAGAAATACCAAGAAGACAACAAGCTCCACCTCCTCCTATGGAAGTGGACAATAATGAAGAGTTTGAAGTAGAAGAAGTCTTAGATTCAAGGTGGCACCAAAATAAATTAGAATATCTTTTCCATTGACAGGGATATGATATGATATTAGTGAACGTACATGGGAGCCAGTAAAGAATCTTGTAAATGCAGCAAAGGCAATGGAGGCTTTTCATTGATGACATCCATCAAAATCAAGATGAAAATCTTCTTTATTAAAGAAACAAGATCTAGATAAGACATTACAATTGTTTCAATCTTTAAGATGAAGCAATTGAAATGAAGATCTTTAAGAACGACATGTTCTTCCTCGAATAGATGGCAAAATATAACGTGTTTGATATCACAACCTTGGAAGGGACTCCCGATGTTTGGTGATTTTACTAGAGGTAGGAACAATTCTTGATGGTGTTCCAAATGTTTTATTTAAAAGCAGTTATGAAGCCCTCAACAATGATCAAATAACTGGGTGGTCTTTCCACCGTGGTATAGGACACTACCAATGGTTGAGAGGCCCTATCAATCATCTTTAAAGAGAACAAAGATCAGAGTATGTGGCCAATACAATTCGTCGCATTATAGATTTCTTCAACATACGATTGCTGTTCCTCATGGAACTCGTCCCTAAAAAGGGGGGTAATGTCATGGACATACACATGTAAGCCAATAATTACATGTATAAATAGGTAGAAGTAAGTAAAAATATGTAAAAGTAAGTTAATTCTATAGTATTTGATATGAAAGCTTCCTAGAAGCTTCATAGATGCTGCTTTGATTTTATAGGTGTCTTTAATTGACTTTTTGGATTAGAAACGTGGTCAATAAGTTGGCCATGTACCACACATGTTGTTAGCTTGAAGATCAAGCTAACTATGTGGCCCACACTTAGAAAAACTTGCTTTGTAAGTCAAAGCATGTGTCTTACAAAGTCAACACATATTGGAGGTCCTATAGAACGTCACCACGTAGCCCCTAGTTAGATAGTATATATAGAGACAAGAATGAAGCCCTCTTCACTCTTGTCAACTCCTTTCTTGCTTCCAGTCTAGTTTCAAGGGTCTCTAATTTTCTTGTCTTTTAGGAATAGCCATTCTAGTTTCTTTTTTAATATACATATCAAGTTATTTCTATTTTTTCATCTTTCTTTGAAAGAAGTCTCACTTGTTTATTTGTCTTTATTATGTTCTTGTCATTGATACTTTGTTGATGTGCACAATGAGATCTTTATTTTCTTCTATTTTGCTTATAAGAAATTTTCTTCTTATATAAAGTACTTTAGACAAGTTCTTGCTTTTATAAGTGTTACAAAGATACTTTTATGTTTTTAATAGTAATTTATAAGTAATAATATATAAAAAATTGGCTTCATCAACATTAGTTACAATAAATCCAAAATCCTTCTTCTTACAACATTTGTACTTATTTTTCTCTTTCATATTAAAATGCATGCTTAAAACTCTTTACTTTCATCTATAATATTTTAAGATCTAAAGAAGCCAACAAAAGCTCTATTTCATCTTTAAATGATAGAAATTATCTCTTTTATACATTTAAATGAATTTTAAGCCCTTATCTGTATTTGAAGATATATCTAAATATATATGTATATATATGTATATATATATGTATATATATATGTATATATATATATATATAAATCAAAAAAAGAAGACTTAAAGCTTTCAAAATTAATAAAAATGTGTTGTTATTCTATAATTCCAAAATTCGTTTTTTATAAAAAAAATCTAATGTTATCACTTTCAAAGCAATGTCAACTTTACTTCTAAGATTTTTCGTAAGTCCTATCAATAATAGAAATATCTAAATTAAGATTATATATTCATAAATAACTTCTATATTTACAAATCATCTCTTAGTACCATAAGAGGTCTTTTGAATATCTTTAATTTTTTTAACAACTCAAACTGCAAAGTTAATCCATCAAAGATCTAACTCAACAAGAAAGCACAATACAAGTATTCTAAAATGTCTCTTTTAGGTGTAAGACATATACCAAATTCAAAATGTATTTAACCACAAGTAAGTAAAAATCAAGATCTAAATTAGTCTCAAAACTAACACTTTCACTACTAACACCTTTTCTTTCAAGTGGATGATTGTATTTGATGCAGATGAACTTCTTCTACAATCATCTTCATCCTAATAACTTTGCCAAAACCTTAAATGTTGTTTGACCATTAGCAACTTATCAAGATTAAATTCTTAGTGGTAGTAACTTAACTTAGATTTGTTGATCTTTAATACATACTTGATAAAAAAATAAACCAAAAAAATGATGTTGAATGGACATTAACTTAATACATATATGTTTAAACAACATATACACAATTGGTAACATACAACAAAGTTCAAAAATTGGTAGTCATTTTCAACAAAAATTATAAAGGTAACAGAAGAAGAAGAGAATATATATATATATATATATATATATGTATATATGTAGACTATATATAATCCAAAAACAGATCAAGGGTGTGTTGCAAACCACTGAAAAAAACCAAAATATGACAACCATCACAATCCTAATCAAACAACTTACTTTAATTATTCCAATACAAGCTTGGAATGTTTACTTGGGGGTGTCTCCCCTGCATCAACTGTTTCGGGTGCTGGATTGGACCTCACAAAAACTAGTGTCATCCATCCACATTGTGGCCAACAAAGTGTGAGGTCTACACAAGAAACCCATTGTACAAGTTTCCCATCTGATTGGGCTGGTTCAGTTAACAGCACCTCTTAATAATTGCCACAAACAAATCAAAAGCACCATGCAACCGAAAGGAGAACCGAGAGATCCTTCCTGCGTCTCTCAACACGTACACGGTAGCCACCCTTCGTCAACGAGACCTCGCCGACGGTCGTCGAGTTCTTCCTCACGTCCAACGATGGTGAGAAGGCCGTCGGACTCGTCTACTTTTCGTTCCGGTTTCGTCGATCTGGGAAGCGGGTCCCCGCCAAGCTTTTGGTTGCGAGGCGGAGACTCCTGCGTGCTTGCGTTTGTCAGGAAAGCGGTAGATATTTCACCCACTGCTCGTGAATCGTTACGAGTTTCGTGGCTTCAGGTTGGAGGAGATTGTGGTGGATCAAAGGTGACGTTTTCCCTCGTACCCAGTTGTAGATTCGGTGTTTGTGCGTTGGAGCAGTTTTGGGTGGTTCTGTTAGCCAGCGATGGTGATCCTGTGGCGAGTGTAGGATCGGGGAACGAGGAGAGGGCAATCGACGAGATTTGGCTCTGTGGTGCGCATGCATCGAGGAACTTGCATTCGAAAGCGGTGCAGTGTTCTCGCGTTTGGTTGGAACTCTGCCGAAAATTTGATTGCAACAGGGGATCGTAGGTTTTGGGCCGAGTCCTTGTGAGTTGGTGTTAGGGATGCTTGAATGTTTGTTTAGTGGATTCTGAACTGGTCCTGCCAGAGTGGACTTATTTTGCTCTGCCGCTTTTGTGTAGTGAGGCCGTTAAGAGGATCATTATTTTTGGGAGAAGTAATGCATGTGGAGTTTTGGATTCGTTAAGTCGGTTTGTAAACCTCGCATGTCTTTCTGGAGTGACAACAGTGGCTGTTGTGACTTGTTCTCCACGCCAGATTGTTGTTGAGCGGCAGGCTGCAGGACTTACTCAGTATCGGACATTAGAGTTTTTTTGAATTTAGAGTCTGATCAGAATTTTGAATCCCTTTTTCTCTGTTCGAGGGAATTCGAATTGTGGAGTTATCTGAATAAGTATTTTAATAGTTTGTCTACTTTTTTAAAGTACTGTACAGTAAAAGTCCTGTTAGAGAACAGGATTCTGCTGCCCTTCAATATGCGATAGAATCCAAAGAGAATCATTTTACAGCTGCTAGCTAGCCTTTCCTGTAAGTTCATCCTTTACATTTTCGTTTGATCAGTGATCAATTTAGAAAGCAGGCTGTACAGTTATATTTTTCTGGCGATGAGTTAAGCACGGATTGAAGCTTTTGAAGCGGTTCGCCATTTGAACCTGCATAATTCATTGCTTTGCTCAAGTCATATATTTGTCCAATATTGGCTACAAATGGAGGCTCTTTCTGTTGGCGGAATTCATGCGGGTCCAATTTCTTCAAGTTTCATTTACAGCAAGCCTGAAAGTCATTCACCATTAAAAAAATCATCGACATGCCAAGTTTTTGCTCCAAACTCTTCTTCTTTTCTCGGTTATAATCCTTTTCCGAAAGGTCTTCTCTTTTCTTACTTTTTGAAACGCAAGGAAGGACGTTTTGAGAGCAGAAGACCATCGGCTTTGTTGAATTCGCATGAATACAAAAAACAGAAACTGGAGAAGACACTTCAGAAGGACATTGAGTCCGGTGTTGATAGTGACAACGACGAGGACCTGTGTCCAATTGAATGTGTTCGCGAGATCAATACACTAAATGAGCTGGAACACGTTGTCCAGGACTCAAAGACTTCGGGTTCCTTAGTCGTTGTTGATTTCTTTCGAACTTCGTGCGGGAGCTGCCGATACATCGAGAAAGGATTTCAGAAGCTTTGCAAAGGAGCTGGGAATGGAGAAGCTTCTGTTGTATTTCTTAAACATAATGTTTGTACACTGTATCCTCTGACTTTCATTATAATGTTTTTCAAGCTCTAGAATTGTTCCTAGTTTAACGATCCTTCCGATCATTATTGTTTGAAAATCGTTCCTCTAAATAGAATTCCAGCCACCCTCCACTGTTTGAGAAAAATTCTTGACCTGTTTATTCCAGCTTGTGTTATCTATAGCATGTCTGATCAAGCCTTCCTGAAAACCTGCCTTCAGGATTTCATTGAATTTCAATATATCATCTATCGATTGACACCTAAGCACAAGTATATGTTCACCTTGTTGATTGACTTAGAAAAAAAAACAGCGAAAAGCAAGCTACTTTAACAACTTCCGCGGAGTCAAACTTGATCAGTATTCACAAGTTGGTCCGTATTTCGTGTGCAGGTGTTTGATGAGTATGAGGAGCAATCTGATATAGCTGAGAAATTCAGAATTAAGGTATGGCTACCTCAATCAACTGGGTGATCATAGCTTGTTAATGGATTTTGGTCGCGTGTATTTTTGGACTTTCAATGCTTTGCCAATCATTCTTTCAGTAAATTCCACTTGTGGCATCCCTGCGTCAATCCATTGACATTTGGATGCTTCACATGGACTTCTTTATTACTCTGCAAGAGTCTTGCTGATCCGACAACCGCAACACTGACGTGTGCAGGTTGTGCCGCTGTTCCATTTCTACAAGAACGGAGAGCTTGTAGAATCCTTCCCAACCCGTGATAAAGCGAGAATTCTAGAGACCATCTACAAACACTTGGGCGTTGATCAGACAATTGAAGAGTGGAGTGACATTCATGGCCTCAAATAACAGAGTTCTGAGCTTGATTACCTTCCGTGCTTTGTCTTTAACATTCTGTAATTTCATTTAACCTGAAGAATTAGCTGTGCAAATGATGTGCACCTCATTCATCCGTGTCTGATGGCTAGTTACATGGTGCATTCGGGTGTTGTTTTAATCTGTCGCTGCTTTTAAATGGAAGTTTAATTTGATATTACATCAAAAGCATCAAAGAAAGACATTGGCTACATAACTTGTAATCTTCTAGACATATTTTTTTAGTATTTCTTCTTCCTATCATATAATTTATTAATTTTTTAAATATATGTATATTTAAAATTATATGGAAAGTAAGTTTAGTTTTAATAAAAATTAGTAAAAAATTAATAAGAATTAATTGTGGTAGTAGTAGTAGCATTTTTTAAGATTAGGCTTAGGCTACAAACACACTTTATGTTCCTATATGTACTAGCTTCATGTTCTTATATGTATTGGCTTAGAATTGATTAGGCACTTCATGTTCTTATATGTACTAGCTTCATTTTCCTATATGTACTGGCTTACAATTGATTGGATGTTACTGTGTGGATCTTACTACCTAACACACAAATATGGGAAGAATAAAGGGATTTGGCAACCCTTCTTTTGATGGCAATCCTTCTTTTGATAGTTCCATTGATTGATTGGTACACATGGTTAAAGAATAATGCCCCTTGTAGAATCCTCCAAGAGTAGTATCTCTAGAAGGAAATTTAAAACCACCAAAAAAGTGCTTGAGTATTTTTTTTTACTAACTTTTATCACACCACATTGCACATTCTATTACTATTGTACGGCGTATTGCAATAACTTTTACTGCATCACATATTTCCTTTATAGATCCTCATTCCAAGCCTTGTTGTACACAAACATCATAAACTTTATTATATATAGACATCATAAGCCTCATTATTTACAAAAATCAAATCAAATAAAGTTGGTGTGGTGTTTTTTCTTTAGAATCATTATATTGGCAAGGTGATGATTATTTTCTTAATGAGTTGAAATTGTAATGCTCATCATGTTTTAGAGTCTTTTCATCCTTCTCTTATTTAAATTATTTCTATAGAAAACTCGGCTTACATTGTTTACTTTGCATCTCGCTTGATTTTCATATGTAGGACTTGTAGCTTCTTTGCTTCTTTGACCAAATAGCTTCATCTTTGAATATGCTTGACTCCCAGTGTTTGCCAACTCCTTACTTGTTTCTCTTTTTTCCAAAGCTTATATAAAAATTTTCTTATAACTGATCCTTTGAAGGTTATATAGACTAATCTTTTCTTTGTTTAAGAACAAGCTACTTAATAATCATTCGGCACCCATTGCAAAGAAATAATGTTCCAATAAAAGATGTCAATGATTAATTATCCCTATGATTCTAATCAATTTGTAAGTAACTTGATTTTTGATTTTATTAATTGATTGTACTTTTTAAAACATTGTCATTACATGTAAATTGATTTCTTATTGTTAATATGTTGAATTTTTATTTATTATATGTTAAAGATTTGTCATTAAAGTTATCTGAAATTGTATGGAGTAGACATGTCATATATTATAAGGTTGTTGGTGTTTACCTTAGATAAAGAAAGAAGATGATACTGGCCATTTGTATCCTATTCATTAAACATGCCTAGTCCATCAATGCTTTTTAACTTTAGTACAATTAGCAATCATCAATCTTGACTCTTATTTGTTCTTAAGAGAAACTTTTGCTACAAAGTTTGGAGTACTATGTTTGTACATTTTTTATTTAATTCTATTTGAATTTTGAAAATAAAACTAAGTTTTAGTCTATGAAGCTATAAAATCTTTGATTAGCTTCACAATAATTAAAAATATTGGTTGATTACTTATGAAATATATTGCATTATGTTTATCATAAACTCATTTTTAGATGTGGCTTAATACTACATGAATTGGATATTATTTTTTACATTGAGGTATTATAAATATTAAGATTTTGGATTGCCAAATTTCTTGATTGCCCCTTTGTTATAATATTATTGGCTAATCTTTTTAATAATATATATAAAGGCTCAATATTTCATATTTAAAGTATTTAAAAATAATATAATTATATTGAATGTAATCATATTGTCTGATGTTGTAATGTATTATAATCACATTCAAAAGTTTTCAAGTATGTTAAAAGAAAAAGATATTATCATATCTTTTATTAGCTTTGAACTAAAGCTAATAGAATTTTACAAGGTAATATAATTTAGCACATTGAGCCTTTTTAATTGTAACTGATTTTATTTCAATGAAACAAAAGTATTTAATTGAATCTATGATATATTATAAATAATAATCATCATAAATATTTTTTGATTTATGACTATCCTATTTTAGAGCAAAATGATTATATCTAAAATTTGTGATATTTGAGCTATTATAACTATTTTTTTTATTGACAATGTTAACAATGTAGAGAAATTCCAACATTTGAGGATGAGTCCTAGTTCTTATTATATTTGATACCTCACTTTTAAAAACTTCCTATATTTGCTATTCAATTTGACTTATTTTAAAAATCTTATTGAAATTTTGAAGGTTAGTTGTAAAAGACTAAAAATGTCGTGGTAATTTGGCATAATTATTAAAATATGATTTTTTATAGATGTTTTCAAAATTTAAGGTATGAATTTTTGAAATTCATTTATATAGAAGAAATAAATATTTTTTTAATATTTAAATAACAAATAAATAATAAAATAATAATATTATAAGTTAAAATTTGAATTTATAGGAATTTATTAGTGTTAATATAGGATCTAAACTAAAGCTCATATATAATAATGAGTTATATTTGTTTTGCAGGTATTTTGTATAATAAGTAAGCCAAATTGTATCATGTGTTTTTTGTACAGTAAATGCAAACATTACATTAGCCTATATATCAAGTAAGTTTAATTATTATTGTAGAAATCTCTCTCTCTCTCTCTCTCTCTCGCTCTCTCTCTCTCGCACACATATAAACAAACTCTTTCTTTAAATAATTGTCTTAAATAATCTCATGCTATATGAGCTATTTATTTGTTGTCTTTTATATTTAACAATGTGAAGTTGCTACTTCAGTAGCATGTTTCATCTCAAAATAAGCAATTAATAGCAAATATATTTTATTTTAATTTAAATATTATCTCATCTTCTTTCTATTTTCTCTTTTTTTTATTCATTCCTATTCTTATTTTTTTTAATCTTTTTTATATTAAGTTTTTTTTTTTAAATTTACAAAAAATGTGCAACTCATAAAAAAATTATTCAAAGACTATCAAGAATAAGAACTTAATGAAAGCAAATAACTAAGTGAGACTTTTTTCAAAGAAGAATGACAAAATAGAAATAAAAAAACATGTATATTAAAAGAAAACTAGAATGGCTATTACCAAAACATAAGAAAACTAAAGATTCTTGAATATAAACTAGAGCAAGAAAATAATTGATAAGAATGAACAAAGCTTCACTCTTGCCTCTATATATACTATCTACTTAAGAGCTACGTGGTGATGTTCTATAAAACCTCCAATATGTGTTGACTTTGCAAGCTACATATCTTAACTTGCAAGGCAAGTTTTCAATAAATGTACCACATAATAAACTTGTTCTAATAAGCTATCTACACATATAATACATGGCTAATTTTTTGACCAAGTTTCTAACCTAAAAGTCAATTACAAACATATGTAAAGTCAAATTGTGTCTATGAAGCTTCTAGGAGCTTATCTAGAAGATGTCATGAAATTAATCTAATTTTATTTATTTTTACTTACTTCTATTTAATAATATAGGTAATTATTAGAATAAGTATGTATGTCCATGATAGTATATCTATGACATTACCTCCTCTAGGAATAAGTTCCACAAGGAGTAGTTATCATATATTGAAAAAAGTCTAAGATGCAATAAATTGAGTTTGCTACATACTTTGATCTTTGTTCTCTCTGAAGATGGCTGATAGGTCCTATCAGCCATTGGTAATATTTCATATTAAGGCCGAAAGACCATCTTGTTATTTCATTGTTGTTGAGGACTTCGTAGCTTTTCTCAAATAAAAAATTTGAATACTATTAGGAATTTTTTCTACTTCTAATAAAATCACCAAATATTAGGAATTTCTTTCAAGGTCATTGTCAAGGTAGAGAGAGTTTGTCTCAAGAAAGCACTAGGCTCCTAGCTATCACTAATTACTCAATCAACCTTCAAAATAAGGAAAGCCTTAAGTTTATATATAAATTTTTTCTTTTGGAGTAATTATATCAAATACATAAGCCTCAAGTAACCAACAACGTTCAAAATATGATAAAGTCCTTGTATATCCTTATGTGCAAATTTTTCCAAACATCAATATTACATAACTCTTGATGTGATTGTCCAAACTTACTCAAATTTTATATGAAGTAGTGATGTATTTTTACCAACTTCTACAACAAATTTCAACTGCAAATTTATTGCAGAACTTGAGGTATCTTGAAAATCCTAATAGTTATTTCAAACCCTTATCTTTGTACACTTCTATGCAATTTTCTTTATATCTCATAAAATAAAAGCTCAAATGCTATGAAATTTATATGTATAGCTTTATAACACAAAATTTTTCATTCTCCAAAATTTTGAGCTAAAAATTCATCCAAAAACTCAAATTATGGCTCCAACCATTACTATAAATAAAACTGCTCACTTACTACCTTTGATTTGGAAGTGTCACCTTTTAATTTAATCTACTAACCACTCTAATATACATTTATATTTGTCAACATATAATATGTTTTAACTAATTTTTACATATTGTAATCATTTACAATATGACATCCACCTCCTCCAAACCTATACATCTTCTAGTATGTGCCATGTCTTACTCATCTTCATCATCTTAAAAGTGCTCTGAATCATTTATAGGTTTTTCTTCTTGAAGTTCTTGATTCTAATATTGTGGTAAGAATTCTTCAAGGTCCTCTATTTTGAATTATCCATTTCTTCTCCTAAAAGTCTTTATCTTCTTTTCAGCTACTAGAATTCTAATGATAATTCTATTTAATTCACGTAAAGTATATGTGGCATTATCATGGATTGTAACTACTGCATATGATCCAAACCATTTTTTTACAAATTTCTTTACAGTACTATATTGACGTTCAAGGCTGTTATCATAAAATAAAAACCAATCCTCAATCT